TTTTTTTTTTTTTTTTTTTTTTTTTTAAATAAATGCAAATGTTATACAAAGAACCCCAGGAGAAGCCAGACTGGCAAAAATACTTGTCTGCATTCAGATACCTGTAAGTATCAGTATCATTTTACACTCTAAGATTTTTTTTTTCAACTATATCCCTAACCCTTTGTATTCTTTTATTTTGAAACAGGGTCTTGGTAAACTGCTCAGGCTGGCCTTAAACTTGCAATTCTCCTGCCTCAGCCTCCTAAGTAGCTGGAATATCGTATGTATGCCACTAAGCCTGGTTAAGACATTTATCACCGTGCCCAATAAGAGTTTTTCACACATCCACACCTTCTCTTAGGTGGTGGCTCTTCATCCTCAGAGTCCTCTGATGACTCATCTTCATCTTCATCCTCATCCTCATCTTCATCTTTAGAATCATCTGGCTCTTTCTTTGGAAATAGAACTCCTGGGCTGAAACAAAGCAAAATGAAACAAAAAAAATCCCCCAGAAGTTCCACGCAGGACAAGGAAAAGAACGTCAACCTATACACTTCTCGCTGGACATTTCTCCCTTCTGTCCCCATCTCTCAAAAATGTGAAGTTAGGTTATAAATTTTAGTTTACAATTTAACCTATTTTTGTACAAAGTCATGACAAATCTATTAAAAGTCCCACAGCATATCTTACTCCCTTCCTCCTACTATTTAATAAAACTGATCTTTACTCATGTTTGTATTTTTGTTTTGATTTTTGTATATGTAGCCCAGGTTGGCCTCAAACTCATGGTGATCCTCCTGCCTCAGCCTCTTGAGTGCTGGGATTACAGGCATGAGTAATTACCACATCTGCTATCACTCATGTACTTCATGTACTTAGTAAGCATTTATTAAACTCCTATGTCTAGTACTGTGTCAGCCACTATGAACACAGCAGCTGTAAGACAGTTAATAGTGTGGATAGCAGTGTAGACCTTTTGGTTTAACAATACTGGCAAAAGCTGCATGTGGTGGCGTACACCTGTAATATCAGCACTTAGCAGGATGAGGCAGAGGGATGATGAGTTTAAGCTCCGCCTGGGCAATTTAATGAGACCTTGTCTCAAAAGGTAACAAAAATAAATAAAAAGGGCTGGGGATGTGTCTCAGTGTGAAGGCCCTTGGTTACTTTCCTAGAACTGCAGAAACAACGTAAAACTGGCAAAAGACCTCAAAAGTTTAAATATCTCCAAAGTTTTAGTGAAATTCAGGAAGGATTCCCTAAGTCTTCCTGTCCTTCATGCTAAAAATCTTGATCCCCTTGATTAATATGTCTTTAAGTATTACATTTAATAGTTAGCTGGGCATGGTGAAGAATGCATGCAACCCAAGCTGCCAGGAGGCTGAGGCAGGAGAACTCCAAGTGCAAGGCCAGCAAGGGCAAATTAGCAAGACTATGTGTTAAAAATAAAAAGGGCTAGAAATGTAGCACTCCCTGGGTTTAAATCTTCAGTATCACCACCACACACACACAAAGACATAAGCTTAATATTTGAAAAATTATTCATTCAACCAAGTACCAGGGCTGGGGATATAGCCCAGTGGCATAAGCGCCTGCCTGGCAAGTGCATGGTCCTGAGTTCAATTCCCAGTACCAAAAAAACCCCAAAACCGCCCCCCCCAAAAACAAGTACCAAATAACATTTTTATATACAAATAATACAAGAAAGTTATACTATTGCCAAAACAGGGTCTTAGTGGTATAGGCCATAGGACTTTATTAGAAGTAAACACCTAAATAGGACAGCATCAGTGCACAGAACAATGTGTGGCCTAGATAGAAGAGGTGTTTAATACATCATCTTATTTTAATGAATACATAAAATATGTACAAAAGACAAGTTTTCAAATAAATGTCCCTGTCTCTAAAGTATGAAGGCAGAGTGTAGATTCTTGAAAGCAGTCAATGTTCTCCCCACTTAGTACTGGACAATTATGACTTACGCATAATTCTCTTGATAGTCTTCTATCATTATCATTTAGAAATATAAGCCAGGCGTAGTGGTGCACTCCTGTAATCCCAGCACTTGGGAGGCTGAGGCAACAGGACTGCTGTGAGTTCAAGGCCAACCTAGGTTATCATAGTTAAAGGCCAGCCTGTACACAGAGAGATCCTGTCTCCAAAAACAACCTCCCAAAAGACAAAATACATACAACACATATACACTATACATACAAAAAGAATGATGCATGCCTGTAATCCCAGCACTCAAGAGGCTCAGACAGGAGGACTGTTGTGAGTTTGAGGCCAGCCTGGGCTACAAAGTGAGCTCAAGGCCAGCCTGAACTGCACAGTGAAACCCTGTCTCAAAAAGACAAAAAAAAAAAAAAAAAAAAAGAATGAACATTGAAACAATTATCCAAAAATCTCAAAGAATCTGATGCTTTGTTTCAGCAACAGCTATCTAATAATAATAAGCTTTAGCAGGATAACCAAAACTCCCCTGTGGTTATATGGGAACTTTTTTACTATAAATACTGCCTGAGGTCTTTATGTTTAAATTATTTCCCGTTCAGTGTACAGTACTGAGGATAAAATAAATTAAACCAAGCCTATAACTCAAGAGTCAGATTTTAAATTTATAACGACCAATGCTTCACTGAGGGCTAAGTGCTCACCTTGGGTAATATGGAAAACAGAGTTGGAAGGTGCCACTAAATCCTTTACCAGAGATCTGCTCCATCCACCCATTCTTTTCACATTTCTGCAGCGTTTTCTTCAGCAAATGCACTGAACAAAATTCAGGAATGAAAAAAGTAAACTAGTTATTCTGATTTAGTAATGCTCTCAATCACGACTGCATGCCCATTAATTCAATGTTCTATCACATACAGTAACTGACATGTGTTAATGGAATCCTGTGTGACCAAGGGCATGAATTTAGTTCACTGAACATTTATTCAGTGTCCATAAATTTGGCAAAATTATTCACAGAAAAGGAAATAGGAGTCCAGATAACTAGTCCTATAACAGCACAAAAACGGTTAAGAGCAGACCTGAAATAAAATATTACATGTTTTTCATTCATTCAAACATCTACTATGAATCTACTGGTACACAATATTGGTACTGATACTCATCTAGAACTACCTATGAAGGTGAAGAGAATATAGTTCTCATAAATCACCAAACAGTAACAAAACAGTATCAGGACTAACAGCTTCACCAATCTTATCTTTTGTATAGAGATATCACAAACATATGATGATTTAATGTCTAAATACAACTGCAAATCAGTGACGTCAGTTAGTAATTAAATGTATCTTCTAACACATTTGGCCAGCCAGGTATAGTGGCGCAGCCTGTAATCCCAGCACTTGGGAGGCTGAAGCAGGAGGATCACTGTAAGTTCCAAACCAGCCTGGGTTACATATGTAATGAATTTAAGGTGAGCCTGAACTACACAGCAGGACTTTGTCTCAAAAAACCAAAAACAAAACAAAGAACTCACATTTGACCTACAGAGAGAATCACAAGATAGCCTACAAGAGGTAATAAGCACAATTAATTACAATATAGATCTTATTATACTAGGGAAAAGAAAAAAATACCAGTTTTCAAAGTAGATAGGAAAACAGAAAGCACTCCTTTGTAATATTTAAAAAAAAATGCATATTGCATATGTTAAGCCAGTATTAACACTTTAAAATTTTTGAATTTTAAACATTCTGTGAAATGGGAGGAAAATGTTCAAATGGGGAGGGGAACAGGGGTGGAGGGGGGGAGAAAAGAAAGAAAAGTAAAAAAAAAGGAAGAAAAAATGGAAACAAATGATATATAGCTGGCTGGCCAAATGTGTTAGAAGATACATTTAATTACTAACTGACGTCACTGATTTGCAGTTGTATTTAGACATTAAATCATCATATGTAAATGGGGAAGACAGGAGGGGTTGAAAGGAGGGTAAGGGAATGAGGAAAAAAAAAAGAAACAAGTTATGTTCAGATACAAATTCTCTATGATGAATATGATCATTATGTATATCTAAAATGTACCAATAAAACCTGATTGAGACAGCACTCAGGAGGCTGAGGCAGGAGGATAACTTTGAGTTCAAGGTCAGCCTCAACTGCATAGTGAGTCCTGTCCTCCTCTCTAAAAAACACCCACAAAACTGTAGGAGGGGGAATCTAACATATTCTGGCTTGTAGTTTCTATTACTGTTTCCAAATCCCTTGCCCTATATTGCTGGGTCTATTACAACAGTTGACTGAGAAGTTATTCATCTCACCATCCATCCAATGTATGTAAAAAGGCTGTTAAATGTCCATACACTTAGGTATGTAATCTCAGATCACTACTCTCTAAAGTAAATAGACTTTACTGAAACAAAATACTTTCTGTTATAGGGATAAGACAGAGAAGTAATCTAAACAGTAAGTATTCTAAAACCCTGGCTTGGTTTCAAGGTGAAATTATATATTTTAGTAAACATTCAGAAACAAGCAAAAATCAGAGGTGTTTTGAATAAGAGAATTATCGAAATTACAGTAAAAATAAGTATCAGAAAAATCTTCAGAGCAAGTAAAATCAATTTCTAAACAGCAATCACTAAATTAAGAGTAAAAGCCAGGTGTGGTGGCGCAAGCCTGTAATCCCAGCACTCAGGTGGCTGAGGCAGCAGGATCGTTGCGAGTTTGAGACCAGCTACAAAGTGAGCTCAAGGCCAGCCTGAACTGCATTATCAAGACGATCTCAAAAAGACAAAAAAAAAAAAAAAAATTAAATAAATAATAAAAATTTGTTTCTTTCTCTCTTTTTTTTTTGTGGTATTAAGGGACTGAGCCTGGGACCTCTGCACTGAACTACAATCAGCCTCTTTTATTTTTTTAACACAGGGTCTAAGTTGCCCAGGTTGGGCTTGAACTTGCAATCCTACTGTTTAACCCTTCCACAGGGCTGGGATTATACAACGTGCCATTATACCTGGCTTTTTTTTTTTTTTTTTTGGAAATGGGAAGTCTGTAAAGCCCTTCTCTTTTAGTTTTCATACAGTCAGTAGTTAACACACGAGTAGCATGATCTCTAAGATATCTTCACAAGAAAAACCCCCTATTCTTGGTTTAATGCACACAACTCTGACTCTTACTTTGGTAATTAGAATTGGTCCCTGGGTGGTTCTCCAGGACATACTTCTTCAGAGCAGTGGTGGAGCAGGTCTTCGGTTCATTCATGGCAGCAATGGCAGACAAGATTGCATATTCCATTGGGCTTCCGCCAAGCAGGGGTTTCTCCCCTGATTTCTTCAGCTGTTTTCCAAGGAGGAAGAGAAAAGCATCAAGACAACACTCCCAAAGCAGCTCAAGACAAGACTCCTCTGCACCAGGTGGGTCGGAGTTCCTGCATTAGCACAGATATGTTTTACAATAAATTGTCAGGTTAGGGACTTTCTCTTCTCATTCACCAGGTAGTCAATCTAAATGAGGAGTCCCAACCCTCTAAAGGATATCTTCTCCAGCTACTCCTCTGTCTATCTTAAAATAGCAACAGCCAACCTAACTCAAAGATATGGACAGTTTCACCCCAATGAGCACGTTAATTTGCTAAACCCCTAGTAAGCTAGGACTCTTTGGAAAATTTTTCCTTTTATTGTACCAAAAAAATCAAACAGTTATAATAAGAAATAGCATTCTTAATACTATAAGGAAAATAACAAAGGAAAGATCTAAATAAGGTACCACATAATAGAAAATTATATAGCATCTTTGAAGGCCAAAAGACTGGGGAACAAAGATTAGCACCACAGAAAAACAGGAAAAGAAAAAGAATGTTCTATAATACAGGTACTGGTTCTTAAGAGTGGTTCGAAAGTACATACCTGGAGTTTCTTGAGATCCTTTTCAGAGGATCTCAAGGCTATTTTCATAATGAAATGAACATGTGATCTATTTCTTTTACTGTGTTGACATATGCACTGGTGGTACAAAAATCAATGGTTGGTAAAACTGCTGCCATCTTACAACAAATCAAGGCAGAGGCACCAAAATGTTCAAGTGTTTACTTTCTTCTCTGTCACATACTTATGGTTTAAAAAAAGAAACTTATTTTACTTAACAATGGCTCTGAAGCTGGAATGGTGGCACACACCTGTAATCCCAGCACTCTGGGAGGCTGACACAGGATGATCACAAGTTCAAGCTCAGCCTGGGCAACTTTGAGGGACTTGGTGTCAAAATAAAAAATAAAAATGACTGCGGATGTAGCTTGGCATGAAGTCCTTGGGATCAATCCCCAGTAGTGGGGAGGAAAAAAAAGTCCTTGATGAAGTAGTAAAACAATTGTATTTTTTTTTGGTCTTTTTGAGACAGGGTCAGGCTGGCCTTAAGCTCACTTGGTACCCTAGGCTGGTATCGAACTTGCAATAATTCTCCTGCCTCAGCCCAGCTGAAACAATTATTTTTAAATCTTAACTCGGACACAAGTCCTTTCAATATTCATTGGATGAAATGTGAAGATGAAGAAAATGTATCTGCTATACACGTACAGCTGTGTTCTTAGGGAAACTCACCTGTGTGATCATAGTCGTGAGCTGAACTAGTCAGATTTTTATGGAATTTCCTTTTTACTTGAAGGAACAACTGACAGATAAACTATAGTTATTCAGACTTGGAGATCAGGTAAACATTACCTTGAAAATGAATTAAGTGAGCCTCAACCTTTCAAATGAAAATTTAAATCCTGGAAAACTTTCCTATCTATCACCAGGAGACTGATATCCTTTGACACTCAATGATCATTCTTATGAGATCAGCAGCTGATACAATGGTTGTGAAATTTTGTTACCATAGGATGAAATGACAGTATCTGAAAATTTTGCAAAATTCAGTAAACCACTATTTTCCAAACAACCAATGTATTCTTAGAAGATCCATTCAAAGATCAAGACAGATCAATGAATTTTAAGGTAAAGAGTACAAGACGCTCATTGGTATGGTTTCAGGTTCCATGTGGTAACTACCTTTTAAGGAATTACCGAAAAAAATCAATGTAAAATATTAACAAACAAAAACAACTCCCCCCCACCCACAACCATATCAATAGAAGTATTTTACAAATCCAACAGCCATTTATGATAAAAACTTCCAAAAAACCAGTAATACAAAAATTTCCAACGAACTAGTGATATAGAAGGGGAACTTTCTCAACCTGACAATATGATCTGTAAAAAACCTACAGCTAAACTGGGTATGATGGCTCAAGCCTATAATCCCAGCACTATGGGAAGTTGAGGCAGGAGGATCATAACTTTGAACGCAGCCTAGGTAACTTAGTGAGACCTTGTTTCAAAATAAAATGTAAAAAAAGGGCTGGGGCTGTATCTCAGGGTAAAAGGCCCACGGTTTGATCTCCAGTACCGCCGAAATTTAAAAAACCAAAAACCTGAAGCTAGCTTAATGGTGCAAGACTCTGCAGGCTTTCACTTTAGGATGGGGAACAAGGCAAAGATGTCTGCTCTCATGCTCCTACTGAACAATTCACTAGGGCTTCTATCTAGAGCAATCAGACAAGGAAAAGAAGTAAAAACATCCAGACTAGAAAGGAAGAAATAAAATTTTCTTTTAAGGCAGATAACATTATCCTGCATGTAGAAAATTCTAAGAAATTTACCCAAAAACCCTACCAGAACTAGTAAATGTGTTCATCAAGGTCACAGCATAGTTAAAATAAATTGCATAAATGAAAAGATGTTTAATATTCATGGGTAGAAAAACTTGATAGGAAGTAAAGGATAACAGTTCTCTCCAAACTGATCTATAGATTCAATGCATTCCTACCAAAATTCCAGCTCTCCTCATGCCCAGATATGGGTCTTAAGATTTACAAAAAAAATGCACAGGACTGAGAACAGTCTAAACACTCTTGAAAAAGTTAAAACACGACTTATAACCCCAAATTTCAAAGCTCACTATAAAGATACAATCATCAAGACAGTGTGGTGTGCTGACATTAAGGAGTCCCATGTAGACAAATAAGGATTCCCATGTAGACGAACAGAATTAAAAAGTCCAAAAATACACCCTTTATAGTACACTGATGTGTGACAAGGTGTCAAGACAATTCAATGAGGAACAGACAGTCTTTTCAATAAATGGTGCTGGGAAAACTACAGATACCTACATGCAAAAAGATGAACTACAGTATACCTTTACTCCATATTATAAACAAAACTCAATATAGAGCACAGGCTAAAACTATAAAACTAAAAGGAAAAAAACTCTTAAAACATGAGTGCATCTTTGTGACCTCAAGTCAGACAGCAGATCAATGACACCACAATTTAAAAAGCTGACTGAAAAGAGATGTCATCAAAATCAAGTCACAGAATTAAGTCTGTGCTCAAACAATATTAAGAAAATCATCCAACCCACAGTGTGGGGGAAAAATTTTCACCAGCTGTTCCTCAAAGGACTATCTACAATATATGAAGAACTCCAAAAAAATCAGATCCCCCAAATGTAAAAACTCACTCCAAAAATGGGCATCTGAGGCCCCATGGGCCATGCCCTGGATGCAAAGGAGACCACTGGAGATCGGTCTGCCCTCTGAGGTGGAGGCCCCAGAGCTCAGACCCATGCTACCAGTTACTCCAACAGGAATGAGAGGGCTTGGGGCATGCTCTGCCTTCTCCCTCTGGCCAGACCGTCATCTCCATCGAGGAGTCCTGGGTAATCATGACTATGGAGGAACAAGAAAACAGCCTGCTGCTAGTCACAGGTGCAAGTCTCTCGGTCCTTCTTTTCAATCCTGGCCTTCCTTCCAGCCGTCATACCTCAGTGAAAGGAGTCACTGGTGAGGAGGTAATATGCTATTTTTGACAACCCTTAGGCTGTAACTACTTATTAGATCCTTCTTGCATATCTCTGTCTTCCTGAGAAACCACTTTGAAGATACCACCACGTATTATAGCAGCCATTGATATTTTCCTACTAATCTATCCATAACTGTGTTAAGTTTGTAATGTTCCTATCCTATTTCATAATGTATGTTTATTATTATGTGTTTCCTACAACAACCATTGAGAATAGTTAATGATTTTTCAATAGGTCACTCATGTATAGCTCTATTTATTTTCTTTAGAAGCCACTTTGAAGATACCAAAGTAGAGTACAACAACTCTTGATAATCTCCTACCTCTTTTGTCTCTAACTCACTATTATTTGTCTATTTGTTTTCCTGAGAAACTATTTTGTAGATAATAATATGTAAAACAATAATCATTGATAATCTCCTACCATTTTGTCTGTAATTTGCTAAGTCCCCCCTATTATTATGTTATCCTTCTTTTATTCTTTAAAATTTAAAAAAAAAAAAAAAAAAAATGGGCATCTGAGATGAATACACACTTTTCACAAGGAAATACAAACAACAAATAAATATATGGAAAATATGTTCAATATCATTGGTCATTCAAGAGGTACAAATTAAAACACTGAGATTCCATCTAATGCTAAAAAGAATGGCTATCATCAAGAAATCAAGCAAGCAAATAAATAAATAAATAAATACACCTTTAAAAAAAATGGGGCTGGGGATTTAGCTCAGCAGCACAGCGCCTGCCTGGCAAGCGCGAGGTAGAGAGTTCGATTCCCGGTAACGGAAAAACAAAACAAAACAAAACAAAACAAAAATAAACAAATAAATAAATACACCTTTAAGAAAAAAGAGAAATCAACCAAAAAACAAATGCTGGCAAGGCTGTGGGGGAAAAGGAACCCTTCTCCACTGTGGTGGGAGTGTAGACTGGTGCAACCACTGTATAAGTCAGTGTGGAGATTCCTCAAAGAACCAAGACTAAAAGTTTCATTTGTCCCACCTATACCCCTTCTTAGTATCTTCTCAAAACAATTAAAAGCATCATATTACAGTGATATATGCACACCCATGTTTAAAGCAGCACAGTTTGTAGTAGCAGAATTTTGCAAACAGCCCAAATGCCCAACAGCTGGTGAATGGATAAAGAGGATGTGGTTCTTTTATACAATGGGATACTACTTCTGCCATAAAGAGTAAGAAGCACGCAGGACATTCCTAGGTAAATAGATGCACCTTGAAACCATACTCTTAAGTGAAAGAAACTGGATACTCATGGGTAAATACCACATTGTTTCTCTGGTGTGATAAATGAAAGTGTAAATAAGGACCAAAATGTATAATAGGCATTGTGAAATAGGAAGAAAATGTTCAAATGAGGTGGGGAACAAGAGGAGGGAAGGAGAAAAGGAAAGAAGGAAAAGGTAAAAAAAAAAAAAAAAAGAAGAAGAAAAGGAAGCTTTTGTAAATGAGGGGAGGAACAGTTGAAGGGATAGGGGAATGATGAAAAAAGAAACAAGTTATATCAAGTACAGAGTTAAATTCTCTATGACAAATGTGATCATTATGCATATCTAAAATGTATTCTGCCTGGCAAGTGCAAGGTCCTGAGTTCAACTCCTGGTACAAAAAAAAAAAAAGGTACCAATAAAATTGGAGTAAAAAAAAAGAAGAAATAGCAACCCATCATTCCCTTAATAAATCTATGAAAGGGGGAAAGAAAAGTCACAGAATAGGAGAAAACCTTTCCAGGTCATGTTCTATGATGAGGGACTCCCCACTGGTACTTGGAACTGAACCCAAGGTCCCACACACGCTAGGTAACCACTCTAGCACTAAGCTGAACTACATCCTGAGCCCTCTTCATTTTTAGACAGGTCTTGCTAAGCTGCCCAGGTTCATGGGAACCTGCTGTCCTTCTGCCTTGGGATCCCAAGTAGCTAGGATTACAGAGGGTACAATCCCACACAGCACAAGGGATCTTTTTTAGAAATCTTTTTTTAGAAATGTTCTAAAATTGAACTGTGTTGACAGCTACATAACTGTAAAGTTACTAAGAACTCACTGTACTGTAAATTTTAACTCAGATTATATATTAGGTTTGTAAACTATACCACAGTAAACCTGTTAAAAAGCTATCTACCATTTGTTGAAATTGGGTGTGGTATCAAAGAATACTATCCACAAGTATCTGAAAGTTATCTTAAAAAGTTATGTTTTTCCAAACACATTTTTGTTAAGATTGTCTTCATAGATCCAAAATATACTGCAAATGGTAACAGGTGACTTAAAGACATTTGCAAAAACATAAAAAAGTACTCTTCTTCTCAACAAAAATATATTTTGGGGAAAATAGTTATTTTTCATGAAAAATGTATTATTTACGCAAACATGTTATGAATTTTTGTTATTTTTAAATGAATCAGTATTAAAAACATTTGTTTTAATTTCTAATACAATAAGTATTTATCTCCAATAAGAACATTTTGGGGTCCTAAGTACATTTGTAGATTATAAAAGTACATTTGTAGATTATAAAACAGGTCCTGAAATCCCAAATTTTGAGAATCATTTATCTACAATCAAGCTTTTGGCCTCTAACCTGGAATGTCCCCGATGCACCTTTGCCAGTTATCTGTTCTAACTGGCCTCTCTCTACTGCTCTCTGCAGAGCATTCTTCAACAGCTGAGGCCTGCAGAGAAAAACACAAAAAGAAAAAAAAAAGTGATAATTATATGAATGAAAGAAAAATATAAAGAAATAGATCCCACTTATTCCCCCATCTAAAGTTCTGGCACTTATTAAGTAGTAGTTTATTAAAATGAATAAAAATAATACCAAATTGCTGACATCTTTAGTAAAGGGCATTACTTTTATTTTTCCAAGCAAAGAAGCTAAGCTACTACCTGTACATATAGAACCAGTTTTTAAACTGCCAGGTCCCTCAAAAAACCCTGGGCCACAACAGTGACCGGCCTGTGCAATCAAAGGATGGACATGGTCTATGTTGTCCAGGATGGAGAGAGCTTTTGGCTGGTCATATCAGTCAAATGTAATGTGTCAAGTCAGAATACCGACTTGAAAAAAAAACAACTGTGAAGACTGACTCTAGACAACTGAGTACATCTAAACATGGACTGGATATTAGATATTAAAGAATTATTTTGTTAGAATTGATGTTAGTGTGATGGTTACATTTAACTTTTTTGTGCATATTTGAGAGCTTCCAAAACTGAATCTTTAAGAAGTAGCAAGGGACACACGCACAATGGCAGATGCCTACAACCCTAGTTACTCAGGAAGCTCAGACAGAACAACTGCAAGTTCAAGGTCAGTCTGGGCAACTTAGCAAGACTGTCTCAAAATAAGGACAGGGATGGAGCTCAGTGGTAAAGTGCTTGCATAGCATGTGCGAGGTCCTGGGCTTAATTCCCACTATTCTGGGGGCAAAAAAGCATAAAGCATGGTGGCAAAGTTTTAGCATGTGTGCCACAGCCAGCTGTTTATAATCATTGAAAGCTCTATAAGGTTTGCCATTACTGGTTCAAGGGCTCTTTCCACCATGTGAAGATACAAGGCGGTGGTCAGAACCCAACATCTCAGACACCTAATCCCAGAACTGTGAGAAACACATTTTTGTTTATAAACTGAAATAATAATAATAATAAAGCAATAAAAGCAACCCTATGATGACGACACTGGAGTAAAACTCTGGGTAAAGGATTCAGCAAAGTGGATGTATGTGTGTGTGGAGGAGGTTCAGCCAAGGTAAAGGCTCTGAGGCCAGGGAAAGGTTAAGAAGAAATGGATGTGCAGTGCCCTGTAAGCTATTTTAAACACACGGCTTAACTATGACAGGGTTGGGATGTGAATATAAAGGAGATATGACCTTAAATTTTTTACAAGTCTCACTAGCACTGCAATGTTAACATACTAAAGGAGAACAAGAAAAAGCAGGAGGAGGTTACTGTTCTAATACAGGTGATACATGAGAGACGATGGCAGAATGGAAGAGAGTAATAGCAGAGGTGATAGCAAACAGTCTGTTTAACAATGTATTTTAAAAACAAAGCCAAAATAATTGCTTATAGATTAGACCTAAGTATGTGAAATGACATCAGCATGAAGAATTTTTCATTTGAGCAACTAGAAAGATGATGTTCCCACTAACTAGGATGGAGATACAGTACTTTCTGAGAGGAGGAGGATAATAATTGAGTTCAATTTTGTACATGTAAGTTAGACAACCTAGTGGTGATGGTGAACAAGTACCTGCATATGCATCACTGAGTTAGAGGAAAGGTATGGGCTAGATTTATCTGTGAATTTATACATGTATACAGGTAGTACTTAAAAGCTTTACAAGTGCAAGGCATTGTAAGAGTATGGAGAGAAAATACAAGACTAAGTTGCAGCAGAGGAGGCACCTTTATATTAAGAGTTGAATCAGAAACTTTAAGGAAGCTAGGAAAAGAGGGCAGTACGGCTGGATGGAGTAAGGTATCAGAAAGGTGTAGTATCCTGGAAGGCAAGTAAAGAAAATGTATCAAGTACAGGGGAGTCAAGTGTGCCAAATGCTGCTGAGAGGGCAACAAGAACTATTAGTTTATCACTGAAATGTGCAAAATGCACATCACTCTGACACTGAAAGGAAGAAATAGTTCAGGCAAAGCGGGGGAGGGATAAAGTAGGCTTATGAGAAAATACAAGGGAAGAAATTATAGATAACAAGTATAGACAATTAATTATATGTATTTTTTAAGGGGTGCTTTACTTTTGTGGTGCCACACATCAAACTCAGGACCTCACTAGGCCAAACAGGTGATCTACCACTGAGCTACATTCACATCCATATCGTTCCTTTTTGTGATTTTTTTGAGACAGGGTCTCACTGTGCAATTAGGTTGGGCTTGAAATCACTTTGTAGCCCAGGCTGGCCTCTCAAACTTGCAGTAATCCTCCTGGCTCAGTCTCCCAAATGCTGAGATTACAGGCATGTGCCACCATGCCCGGCCTGACAATTCATTCTTTAAAAACCCCTTTTCTTGCTCTTTTGTCTGACCAAGCAAGTATGACTAAAATTTCATGTTAAATGTATATATGACAGTACTGTGATCAGAGGTAAACAAAATCAATGTGGTTGAAGACGTGGGGGGGGTTTCAAAGGAAAATGTTACCATTAAAAAAGTCATGGAAGGTCTTCAGGTTCATTAATATCTTTGAGTTGATAGTCACTATTGAAAGACAAAGTTTAGCTGGGCTTAGTGACACATGTCTATAATCCCAGTACTTGGGGAGGCTAAGGCAGGAGGATTGCCCAGGGTTATACAGTAAATTCAAGCCAAGCCTTAACTACAGAGTGAAACTTAAAAAACAAAAGCAAAACTGGAGAAGGATATGGTCTGTAGTCACGAAAAAGTAAATACAGGTAAATGTGAAATGTATTTCTATCTTTAAATGAGTCATACAATGCATTTCTGGTCTATAGCTGTGTATGCCCCCTACTATCACACTTAAGGCACCAGAACTAATCTCAAAATTTCTTTTATGATTTCCACTTCTTTTGCAATACTTCACTACACTCTTTAATTGGGTACTCTCAAGAACACTAAGGGAACTGAATATGGTGGTACAAATTTGTAATCCCAGCTACTTGGGAGGCTGAGGGAGGAAGACCAAAGCTGACCTAGTAATTAAATGAGACCTTGTCTCTGAATGAGTGAATGAACGAACGAATGAATGAACGAATGAATAGGCTAGGGATCTAGGTCAGCACTCCCAGGGTTCAACTCCCAGTAGTGCAAATAAACACCGCTAAGTGGTAGTCTCAAAATGTTACTTCTCAGCTGAAACGTAATTGTATACCTAAGTGGTAAAGTAAATGCCAGCACTAAACTATATCAAGACAACATTTATTAAATTATCTTCTGCAGAAAGAACTCTGGATTAAATGCAGTTCTCCAAATTAAATGCAGTTGTCATCACAACAAAGACCTTCCACAAACACACTCAAAACTCACACTTTAGAAATTATAAATTTAAACAAATTAATGTCTGCTTGAATCCACATCTGAGCCAATGAGACAATTTAAATGATTAGTCACCACAGGTCAACTATACTCTATCAAAGACCATACAAAAGAATTACGTGGTTTGGTTTTAAAAAACCTTCATACGATATGAAAAGGAAAACATAATGAGCCAAAAAAAATCACCAAAAAAGGTTTCATTTAATGAAAACAGGGCTAGGGAACTAACACATCGTATTTTAAAACCCAGGTGAATGGCTAATACCTGATGTCCACTCTAAGCTTAGGGTAATACTGAGACACGTATTTCCTGATAAGACTATAGGAAGCTTCTTTAGGTTCACAAAGGCGAGTAAAGGCCAGTGGGAGGATATCCTCCAATTTTACTTGTGGTTCTGGATCCACTGCAGAGCTCCTCTTCTGAAATATAATAGCAAAAGTTATGGTCACTACAGATTATAGGCTTTCAGTCCATATGTTTCTATGTTTAACAAAGGTTTCCTTAGCTGACTGCCAAATCAACTGACAAGTGGAAAGCTTACTTTTTTTCCACATTCAAATAAATCATACCAGGCTGGGGATATAGCTCACTGGCAGAGCTCTTGCCTAGTACAGCACAGTCCTTGGGTCAATCCCTAACACCACCAAAATAAAAACACACCACAGTGGAGTACATGCACGTTACATTGTAATTTCTTTCAGATAAAAAACTCAAGACTGAGAAAGTTAAAAATATACATAAAGAATAGACTTTACAGGTCTTAATTCAGTCTTAGCCTTCAGTAACAATGAAGTGCAACATCAGAAAACACTACACAAAACTTTAAATATTAGAAAATTTTAGGCGGGCATGGTGGGTAAATCTGTACGCCTGTAATCCCAGCACTTGGGAGGCGGAGGCAGGAAGCCGGCCATCGGGAGTTCAAGGCCTGATCTAAACAGTGAGTTCAAGGACAGCCTGGACATGGTAGCAAGACCCTGTCTAAAAAAAAAAAGTTTTATTTAAAAAAAGGACAAAAACCATCAGAGTTATAAAAACAAAGGTACAGAGGAATTTTCATGATCATAATTACTGACATAGATGAATAAGTAAGCACTTCACTTTATTAAAGAAAAACTTTACATAAATGAAATTACTGTCTTGGAGGGGGATACTAATATTTATAGAGAGACATAAAATTGCCTGCAAAGAGGTTTTACACCTAGTGTTGGGTAAAACTGTACTTATATACTTCTAGTTTAAGAGACATTTTACCAAAAACAGAGTAACTCATATAGTTGCCAATAATTCAGTATAAAGCATTTAGGACTATAGACTTAACTGGGTTGGCGTACCTGGATTTGCAACCTGGCTATTCTACATACTAGCTGCGCAAATTACTTACAACTTCTCTACACCTTAGGAGAAAGGCTGCACTTTGCATAGTGGCAAGCACACAGTAAAAACTTAATAAATGCTGTTACTTTTTAAATAGTATTTCATTACTCAAACTCTGGTATAGACTTCTTACCTTTCTGTTTCTGGATTTCTGAGATGTTTTTCTTGATTTCTGGACCACAACGAAACTTCCAGATGCACCTTTTCCTTTTACCTAAATTAAGTTTTATTTAAAATTATTCCAGTATTCGTATTTTCTAACTTTACATTAGACTAGAAGAATTACAGAGCATGATGCTAGAGCTAATGAAGTGCTGTTTAACTCTTCAGAGAGAAAATAATGGAAAAGGAATCAAAAGACTTGGGATGAAATCCTTCCTAATTATGGTACCACTTAGTTCTTCAACACTGCCTTGTTTTGAGACAAAGTCTATGTGGTTCAGGCTGGCCTTGAACTCACTATGTAGTCCAGGCTGGGCTTGAACTCACCAGGCTCCTCCTGCCTCAGCCTGCAGGCTGGGATTACAAGCATGTGCCACCACACCTGGCTCCCTCTGAGTTTTTATTTTCACAACTATAAAACTGAGGAAGAATGCTACTGTGATATTGGGTTAAATAATCTATCACAAGCTTTCAAAAAATCCAAAACACTAAAAACAAAGTATCAAAATTGTCCCATAGAAAGAAAAAAAACCTCCTTAGGGTAAATGAAAAAATTCCTTGCTCTCTCGAAAAGAAGATAGCTCCTTGACAAGCTTTGACTCTAATTAGTCTCAGGTCATACTGCTTCCCACAGTTTATCAGTGACAAGTTATTCCTTCCTTGCAAAAAGCCATCTGATAGTTTAAGATATTGCACATGATGATTTATATAAATCTTACCACATATTTCCAGTTTACAAGTACTTTCATACAACTTTAAAGCTGATTCACAATAACCAATTCATCATACCTCAGCATCACCCACCTATCAATTTAACAAGGTGTAATGCTCTTAGTATATTAACTGTTGTTTAAGCATCAAAGTGAGTGTTCATCTACAGAGACAAAATAAGCCAGAAACTAAATTTTCATAAAGAGAAATATGAAGCCAACCCATAAGCTGTGCTGACATATATCTCTAAGATGGATCTTTGTATTTAATGATTATATTGACTAAATAAGGCCTTTTAATCAATGATCATTTTAAAGGCTATTTCAACATCAATTTTATAACATTTTGAGAAAGTTTAGGCTATAAACTACACACAGCAGGAATTTGTTCTATTCACTGATGGACCCATGATCATGTGACACATGTAAAGCAATATTTATACTGCAAACAATTTGCTAACAGTTTCTAGGCTGAGTGTAAATGCCTAGGTGGCACAGAATTCATCAAACTGTGCAGGAAGAAAAAAAGTCAACAGAACTCTAGAGATGCAGTGAAAAAGGTGGTTAGAACCATCTTTGTTACTACCACAATACTGTGGTAGTTACTGTGGTAGGTAAGACAATGTCCATTCTAGCTTTAAACTTCTCTGACTGGGGTAGGGAGCAACACTGGAGCTCAAAACCAGGGCCTGGCAAGTGCTCTACACTGAGCTACATATGTCAAGCCCTAGACTTCCAGGATTCTACGCAACACTGATGAAATGGTATGCAAGGTAACAAAGACAAGGCCTGAAATAAATATTGGTTCTAGTACTAATCTCAATTCACTGAAGCTTCTCCAATGCTCTTCTTACAGGTTTAGACACTAATCAGTTAAGGTCAACTTTTTTTCTTTTTCCTTATTGTGATACTAGGAATTAACG